AAATAAAAGATCAAGATAATAATAGAAGATCAAGGGAGGGAGAAGGTAAGGGGGGAAATTGATAAGGGAGGAACTCATCTTCCTTACGTGATTCCAGGAGAAATCAGAAACCTAGCGTGTATGCCTTTTACATTTTTAGCATCCCAAAGATGTAAGAGTTTCCACTTCTATTATTACCCTGAAGCTCTTAGTTCAAAAAGAAGTATTAGATAATAAATTATCAGGACCATTGAACTAGATAGATGACAACATTTGCTAATACTATACACTTAATGTGCCACACATTGCTCTAAACAGTTTACATACTTACACATTTAGTCTTCTTAATAACACTATAATATAAATACTACTATCATCTTTTAGTGATGATGAAAATAAGGCCCAGAGAGGTAAAGTAAATAGCCCAAAGACACACAGCTAGAAAGTGACAGAACTGGGGTTTGAATACAAGCAGTCCAGGGCCCACACATTTAACCACTAAATACATTTAACCACCTCAAGACCCAAATTCCAGTTATTGTATTCAATCTCCAATTACAGGAGAAATAGGCCCAGAGGTCTTGGGGGACCTGTATGAGGCTAACTTGATAGATAATAGATCAGAGACAGGAGTTCCACTAACTGCCAGTCCAGTCTTATTTCTATCAAGACTGACACTGGGGATCACCGAAGAGCCTTTTCTTAAGATGCTACTTGTGCGTGAGTCACTGGGGTACGGGTTTCTGGCAGGGTAGATTAGAGGAAGCAGCACACAGCGTACAATCAGCCTGAATGAGTTCAAACCTGATTCTGCTGTTGTCTGGTTGCATGTATGATGACAGGCAAGTCACACCCTCTGAGCCAAGTAAACTGGGGCAATAGTCCCGTCACTAGCTCATAGGATTACAGGAATAAAGTTAAATAATGAAGAAATTAACAGCCATTATCTATTTTGGTGCCGCAGAAAAGTTTGGGATGGGTAATTTGAAGTTCAAGTGTATGGCATTCTCTTTAGATTGAGATTTCTAAAGCCCAAACTGGATTACAGGTTGCTCATGGGCTAATTCACTATAGGGGTTCTAGGGTAGCTCTAGATCAGTTGTCCTACCCTGATTCAGGCCTGATCATCAGATATGAAGCCTGAGGAGAGCCTGCGGAAAGTCACATATTCCCATGATACAGGGAATTAGGTCCCATTTAGTTATTTAATTAAGGTGGAGTCTCACCCTGTGGCCCAGGCTGGAGTGCAGTGGCAAGATCATGGCCACCGCAGCGTCAGCCTGCTGGGCTCAGGTGATCCTTCTGCCTCAGCCTTCCAAGTAGCTGGACCTACAAGTGCATGCTACCATGCCCAGCTTATTTTTATTTTTTTGATTTATTGTACAGACGAGATCTCACCAAGTTGCCCAGGCTGGTCTTGAACCGCTGAGCTCAGGCAATCCTCTTTCCTTGACCTCCCAAAGTGCTGGGATTACAGGCTTGAGCTACTGTGCCCAGCCTCCTTTTATTTATTATATTTTTATTATTACTATTTTCTTGAGTTGGAGTCTTACTCTATGGCCCAGGCTGGAGTGCGATAGCATGTTCACAGTCACTGCAGCCTTGATCTGCTGGGCTCAGGTGATTTTTCAGCCTCAGCCTTCCAAGTAGCTGGAACTACAGCCTTCCAAGTAGCTGGACTGCTCAGGCAATCCTCTCACCTCAGCTTCCCAAAGTACTGGGATTACAGGTGTGAGCCATTGCACCCAGCTTAGATCCCTTTTAAAACTTGATTAGCCCAGTAACTGAGCGACTTTTTTTTTTTTTTTTTTTTTTTAGACACGGTCTTGATCTATCATCCAGGCTGAGGTGCAGTGGTGCGATCATAGTTCACTGTAGCTTCAATCTCCTGGGCTCAAGCAATCCCCCCACCTCAGCCTCCTGAGTAGCTAGGACTACAAGACATACGCTACTATGTCCAGCTATTTTTATTTATTTTTATTTTTTGTAGAGACAGGGTCTGGCTATGTTGCTCAGGCTCGTCACAAACTCCTGGCCTCAAGGGATCCTCCCACCTTGGCCTCCTAAAGTGTTGGGATACAGGCATGAGCCACCGTGTCCAGTCTGTGACTGTTTTCGGTATCAAATTGTGTATCAAGCTCTGCTTTAAGGGACACTTAGAGGGGACAGTGGTTTAAAGATTTTGTCTCTTCATATTTCTGGTTTAGGCAAATATTGGTAAATTTGCAATGATGGAAAACTACTGCAATCTGCATTTGTCACTTTGCCCATGGCCAGAGACCAGGCCAAGCCTGCTCAGGGGAGATGGCTTCAGTGCAGACTTTGGCTCAACAGTGACTCTCAAAACTAAGGTGGGTCTGGGCATGAGCATTTTTTTTTTTTTTTTTTGAGTTGGAGTCTCACTCTGTTGCCCAGACT